GGGTTGGCTCATTTGACTTGGACAGCCAACCACATTCAAGTTCACTCTGTAACCTCGCCCATAGCAACAAAACAGAGTACCCTAGCAACCGTTCATCAACAGCTATATCTCGGCATCGGAACATCGTAGAGACTTGGGGATTGGCTCGTTTGACTCATGCTAGCAAACGGAACTTCCTATATGCTACACATGCTAGCAGTGACTAGCTACATGCTAATATTGACTAGCCATGTACTGTAACTTGCTAGAAATGCTCACTAAGTATAAATATTTCATCAGGCATGTATGTGAGGCTTGCCTAGTAACCACCCAGGGTACCCTAGCAACTGCCTAGCAACCACCCAAATTACCCTAGCAACCGCCTAGCAACCACCTAGCAACCGCCTAGTAACGCCTTAGTAAGGGCCTAGCGACCACTCAGGACACCCTAGCAACCGCCTAGCAACGCCTTAGCAACCACTCAGAATACCCTAGCAACCACCTAGCAACACCTTAGCAACCACCTAGCAACCACTTAGGACACCTTAGCAACCGCCTAGCAACACCTTAGCAACCACCTAGCAACCACTCAGAACACCCTAGCAACCGCCTAGCAACCGCCTAGCAACCACTCAGAACACCCTAGCAACCACCTAGCAACACCTTAGCAACCGCCTAGCAACCACTCAGGACACCCTAGCAACCACCTAGCAACACCTTAGCAACCACCTAGCAACCACTCAGGACACCCTAGCAACCGCCTAGCAACCACTTAGAATACCCTAGCAACCACCTAGCAACACCTTAGCAACCACCTAGCAACCACTTAGGACACCTTAGCAACCGCCTAGCAACACCTTAGCAACCACCTAGCAACCACTCAGGACACCCTACCAACCGCCTAGCAACGCCTTAGCAACCACTTAGAATACCCTAGCAACCACCTAGCAACACCTTAGCAACCACTTAGGACACCTTAGCAACCGCCTAGCAACACCTTAGCAACCACCTAGCAACCACTCAGAACACCCTAGCAACCGCCTAGCAACACCTTAGCAACCACCTAGCAACCACTCAGGACACCATAGCAACCGCCTAGCAACGCCTTAGCAACCACTTAGGACACCTTAGCAACCATCTAGCAACCACTCAGAACACCTTAGCAACCATTCAGAACACCCTAGCAACCAAAACAAATACATTGTACCCCATCGATTTGCCACGCAAACCCCACTCACATTTCCTTTAGGAAATGTACAATTCTAGTTAATGGGGTTTGCCATAGGCAAAGTCCATTCTTACTATTGTGGTTTATTATTAATGGGGTTTGCCTTAGGCAAAGTCCATTCTTACTATTGTGGTTTATTATTAATGGGGTTTGCCATAGGCAAAGTCCATTCTTACTATTGTGGTTTATTATTAATGGGGTTTGCCATAGGCAAAGTCCATTCTTACTATTGTGGTTTATTAGTGGGGTTTGCCTTAGGCAAAGTCCACTATTGTTATTCTCCATACTTATTAGTGGGGTTTGCCTTAGGCAAAGTCCACTATTGTTATTCTCCATACTTATTATAATTATTATTCTTCTTCTTCCGTACGTTTTTCGGCGCGTAACTCGTCCCGCAGCTTTCGTCCCAGACCCTTGAAAGTGGGCTCAAATCGTGCGGTCTTATCGGGAATGGTGTGCTATGACTTTTATAAGGGGTGGGGGGTTTTTTGGCCCCGCAGGGGCCAAAAAACCCCCCCCAAAATCCCATAGACTTAACATTGAGCCGAACTTTGACGAATCACAGCGCCGAGTGTGAATTTCGTAGAAATATGGGATTCGCAACAGCTGTAGGGGGTTGCAGCCTAAGTGAGAACATACCACGCAGGGGGGTATAAGTTGTACCCCTGGGGGGCTAGGACGTCCCAAAGTGGTCCCATTGACTTACATTGGCCCCATTGACTCCCATTCATTACATTGACTCCCATTATAAATGTCATATGTCAATCACAGTACATAGCAGTGTCATACTGACTTGGGGGTGGGCTCATTTGACTCAGGCAACCAATCAGCATCTCATTATGATTTTGAAGCTCACAAGCCACGCCCCCCCAAACCACTTAAAGACCCTTAATAAGTGCCCCATTGACTTAACATGGGGTGGGATGTCCCAATGCAGATCCCATTGACTTCCATTATAAAGGTCACACATCTATAACATTACATAGGAGTGTCATAGAGACATGGGGGTGGGCTCATCTGACTCAGACAACCAATCAGCATCGCAATATGATAATGAATCTCACAAGCCACGCCCCCAAACTGGTCCCATAGACTGCCATTATAACTGCCCTACATGCATATCTTTGCTTAGCAGTGTCCTATTGGCTTGGGGGATGGCTCATCTGACTCAGACAACCAATCAGCATCTCAATATGATAATGAATCTCACAAGCCACGCCCCCAAACTGGTCCCATAGACTGCCATTATAACTGCTCTACATGCATATCTTTGCTTAGCAGTGTCCTATTGGCTTGGGGGATGGCTCATCTGACTCAGACAACCAATCAGTATCTCAATATGATAATGAATCTCACAAGCCACGCCCCCAAACTGGTCCCATAGACTGCCATTATAACTGCTCTACATGCATATCTTTGCTTAGCAGTGTCCTATTGACTTGGGGGATGGCTCATCTGACTCAGACAACCAATGAGCATTTCAATATGATAATGAATCTCACAAGCCACGCCCCCAAACTGGTCCCATAGACTGCCATTATAACTGCTCTACATGCATATCTTTGCTTAGCAGTGTCCTATTGACTTGGGGGTTGGCTCATTTGACTTGGACAGCCAACCACATTCAAGTTCACTCTGTAACCTCGCCCATAGCAACAAAACAGAGTACCCTAGCAACCGTTCATCAACAGCTATATCTCGGCATCGGAACATCGTAGAGACTTGGGGATTGGCTCGTTTGACTCATGCTAGCAAACGGAACTTCCTATATGCTACACATGCTAGCAGTGACTAGCTACATGCTAATATTGACTAGCCATGTACTGTAACTTGCTAGAAATGCTTACTAAGTATAAATATTTCATCAGGCATGTATGTGAGGCTTGCCTAGTAACCACCCAGGGTACCCTAGCAACTGCCTAGCAACCACCCAAATTACCCTAGCAACCGCCTAGCAACCACCTAGCAACCGCCTAGTAACGCCTTAGTAAGGGCCTAGCGACCACTCAGGACACCCTAGCAACCGCCTAGCAACGCCTTAGCAACCACTCAGAATACCCTAGCAACCACCTAGCAACACCTTAGCAACCACTCAGGACACCTTAGCAACCGCCTAGCAACACCTTAGCAACCACCTAGCAACCACTCAGAACACCCTAGCAACCACCTAGCAACCACTCAGAACACCCTAGCAACCACCTAGCAACACCTTAGCTACCACCTAGCAACCACTCAGGACACCCTAGCAACCACCTAGTAACACCTTAGCAAGCACCTAGCAACCACTCAGGACACCCTAGCAACCGCCTAGCAACACCTTAGCAACCACTCACGACACCCTAGCAACCGCCTAGCAACACCTTAGCAACCACATAGCAACCACCTAGGACACCTTAGCAACCACCTAGCAACCACTCAGAACACCCTAGCAACCGCCTAGCAACGCCTTAGCAACCACTTAGAATACCCTAGCAACCACCTAGCAACCACTTAGGACACCTTAGCAACCGCCTAGCAACACCTTAGCAACCACCTAGCAACCACTCAGAACACCCTAGCAACCACCTAGCAACACCTTAGCAACCACCTAGCAACCACTTAGGACACCCTAGCAAGGAATTACCAACTACCTAGCAGAACACATTAGCAGTGCCTAGCAACCACTAAAACACCCTAGCAACCACCTAGCAATGCAGTAAATCACTGATTTGTGATTGTCTCTGACATTTATTCATTAATCAAATATAAAGATAGCAGTTTTTTGTCTGCTCAGACTTGTTTTCAGGAAACACCAACTGTTACTCACTCACACACACACACACACACACACACACACACACACACAGGACTGGAGTGGGACTCCTTTTTAGCCCTGGAGTTTCAAGCCTTAGAACGACCCACATCAGTCGACGACTGACTATGTAAAAAATAACATTATTTACAATTCAGTTTCAAATGACACTAACACGTTTTTCAAGGACACAGGTGCCTTACAACTTCACATTTTTTATATATAAATATGAGAACATTAATTCTTTATAGATATCCAGTCCTTTGTAATGGTTGTAATAAGTAACCCAAACAATATTAAATGTCTTTACACTAAAAATGAAAAAATGATTTCTTTCTGGTAAGGTTTGAACTCGGGTCGCTGGCTTTGAAACCAAACGCGCTAATCACCAGACCACGATGGCGCTATTGAACTGCTTGGATGGGAACAAAGAATAAGTATTGCACTGTTATCTGCTGCTATTGGTGTCTACTCTTTTTTTTTACCCTACTCTTTCTCCTCTTTTTAGATTTCTGATCAAGTTATGTCAGACTTATTAATGTAGTGAATCATCTGATTTTTATTTAGCAGGTGTAATAACCATTAATATTAATTAATATTCAGTAAGGTGCCGCTGTTTGGGGTGAAATGATAGTTACGTCATCATTAACCTGCGGGCTGCAAAGCGCGCGCGCGCGCGCGCACACACACACACACACACACACACACACACACACACACACACACACACACACACACACACACACACACACACTCACAAACTGAGAACAATTATTTGAATTCAGACATTTTTATTTACTGTAATACATAAAGATGGCTAGATTCAAAATGGAAGATGGTAAACAATGTCTCTGAGTTATTATTACAATTAATTTACCTGTGTTTTATAAATAAATAAAAAAAAAAATATATATATATATATATATATATATATATATATATATATATATATATATATATATATATATATATATATAATGCACACTTTTTTATTTAGGCACTACAAAAGTCACACTTGAAAACGGGTGTGGTCCTCTCCATAAATGGAGAAAATCTTAATTCTGCAGGTTGATTGGCTCTGCCTTGCCTTCTATTGGCCAACGATGACGAGCCGTCTTTAGGTTCCAGAACTTTCTGCGGTGAGTAGGTTGTTTTAGTGTTTGCTCGTATAATTGCTGTTTAACGTTCAACTAAAACATGTATATTAAAAAGTATAAATTGTTGTTGCTTGTAGTGGATGTAAAAGTAGCCATTCATGCCCTTTAGTGGGATTTCAGGTGTCCATAATAATTCACGCTGAAGCCGTTGTACTAACGGTTAGATCTTAACTTCATGCAGGCTGCTTTATGACGTACAGTCACTTTATACTCTAATAAATTTTAAACTGAAGTCGCGATTAGAACAGGTACGATTCAAGTCGGAAAAGCTGCGATTATTTCGATAAATAACGTTACTGTGGTGAGGGCGGCCCATTAAAACATCCTACTAACTATCGTCAACGTACTTAATCAGCAGTCGACCGTTACAACAGAACCCACGAGCCCGTATCTCACTGATATGGAGATGAAATGGAAGCTGTGAGCTAAAGGTCTGCATTCCCGCGGCTGTACTGAAGCTGAGAGCGAGACGGTTTGTGTGTGTGTGTGTGTGTGTGTGTGTGTTAGACATTTGACCTGCTTGCTTAAGGTAACGTGTCCTCTCGGCTATTACAGCGAGTCTTGTGGTTGTTATCATGAATCAGCTGTGATATCCGCGCATTTAAGACTATAACCGTGGCCGTTTGTCCGTATCACCGTCACTCCGATGAAAAACTCGAGCCGCAGTAACCGCTGTCGAGAAGAACCGCAGCCCTTTCTGTTGAGTGTGGGAACACAATGACCGATTATAGGTGTTTAAGAACTTGTTCGACAGCGCTAAAAAAGCAATCGAGATTATATTTACATCATTAGTTTATTTGTTGTAAATGCTCTTGTCCTGTGCACTTAGTTTAGCTTTGTTTGAAACATTCAAGAACAGTGTTTTCTTTCAGCAGGTAAAATAAACGAACAAATGATATGTAAATGTATAAATTATACATTTTATTGCAAGAATTTTTGTGCTGTGAATTAAAATCTAAAATTGTGTATGGAAAGCATTGTCAGTGCACTGTGAATGTCGTGAAATGAATATAAAAAAATGTTACACAATCTAAATGTAAAGGTTTTTATACATGTTTACTTAATATTGCATATAGAATTTATGTAATTGACATTAAAATACAATAGTAATTTCCCTAGAATAAATGTGCTTTTTATGCGACATGATTGTTTCTACTTTTATCTTTTTAGAACTTTTTCACCAGCTATCCATCCTGTGTCAGGTAATGATTGAATATATTGACAGGGTAAAAAGAAACATGCTGTACTTACAAAAATTCTGGATTTTTTTCAGCAGTTAAACTCACTTTTTGGATTGTAATCAGTTTTTAAGATAACATTAATTTCATACATTTATCAGACCACTACTGTAATATGACTAAGGGGGGAAATTAAGTGACCAAACATTCTGTTTCTCCAGATTTGTTAGTTATGGGCTTGAGTTAAAGGGATGGTTCACTCAAAACTGAAAGTTCTGTCATTTACTCACCCTTTGTGTTTCATACATTCTTCTGTTGAGCAAAAAATATACTTTCAAGAAAGCTGGAAACCTGTAACCATTTACTTCCATAGTATTTTCCTATGTACTATGGATGTGTAGTGTTGCTCAGATTTTTGCTTTTTTTCCCTCCAAAATATCTTTAGAATAAAGTTAGTCATAAAGGTTTGTAACCACTTCAGTGTAAGTAAATGCATAAAAGTGAGTCAATTGTTTATTTTGGGGGAATTGTCCCTTAAAAAATTATTCTATTTTAACCTTTTAACTTTGGTTCTATTCAACTTTATTCTATTACATTGTTTGATTACTACTTTTCAAATAAATGTTTTTTTTTTTAAAGGAAAGTACAGTTGGTCTGAGTAACACTTTTTTTTTTTTTTTTTTTTTGTTTTTGGTGTGTCTGAAAAGTGTTATTCCATAGAATATTGATTTCTTAAAAAAAAAACACACACATTTGTATTGTGTAAAATCCAGTACAAACATGTCTAGAAATAAAAAAACAAACAAGAATTGGTTCACTGAAATGCATAACTACAGGTCTAAATTGTAAACCCAGAGAAACAGTTAAGGGGTCTGTTTTTCCACGAGCGAAATAATGGTCTGTTTTTCCCCCTACATCACTTTTCTGAGCATCTTTTGCAAATGACTCTGATAGTATGTTTGTCACAAATTGGCTCCTTTAAAAAATAGATACATTCTTTTGATATATCCCTAACAATTTATTTTATTTACAGATTAACTATGTTATTGATAAGTGATGTTTACATGGAGAGAAGGTAATGCATAGTTGACAGTAATTTTTTGTCCCTTTTACAGAGAGACTCGCCAGATATTCCAGATTCTTCACTGCACTTTGCATCTTGGTGAGTGTTGGATAACATTTTTATTTCAAAAATTGAGAAAACAGTAGTTGTTGCTTTGATCTAATTTGTTCTATTTTCTTTATTTTTCAGGTTTCCTGTGAAAAATAAAACAACTACTTCTGTTGTTTTATTTTTCATTGTTCTCCATTTTTACAGGGATAACGTTTCTTTTGTTTTAATAAACTTAGCATTTTGTAATTTATATATTCTTTTTTTGTTGGTTTTTTTTCTGCATTTTTTTTTATATAATTTTTTTTTTTTTTTTTTTTTTTTTTTAAGAAAAAAAACTTTCAATATTACACACTGTACTGTCTTCTATAGTTGCTAACCTCTGTTTTCTTCCAGATACTACAGGTTTCATCTTCTCAGGTTCTGCAGTGCTTTGCATCAGGGGAAGTTTTAAAGTATGTGCCAAAGAGAAAATGATTGGTTTGCTTTCTAAATGTCTCCTAATGTGGCCAAAGTCACCTCATATCCTAAAAAGTACTATGCATAACTACAGGCCTAATTGTAATCCCAGAGAAACGGTTAAGGCAGACATGTCCAAACTCGGTCCTGGAGGGCCAGTGTCCTGCACAGTTTAGTTCCAACCCCAATCAGACACACCTGGGCTAGCTAATCAAGCTCTTACTAGGCTTTCTAGAAACATCTTTGCAGGTGAGTTGAGGCAAGTTGAAGCTAAAATCTGCAGGACACTGGCCCTCCTGGACCGAGTTTGGACACCCCTGGGTTAAGGGGTCTGTTTTTCCTCCTGTGAAATAATGTTCTGTTTTCTCCTTATATCACTTTTCCGAGCATCTTTTGCAAATGACTTTGATTGTATATTTGTCGCAAATTGGCTCCTTTAAAAATTGATATGCTTTTGATATATCCCTAATAATTTATTTTATATACAGATTAAGTATATTGTTGAAAAGTGATGTTAAACATGGAGAGAAGGTAATGCATAGTTCACATTAATTTACATTTAATGTTGCTTTTTGTTCCTTTTCAGAGAAACTCACCAGATATTCCAGATTCTTCAGATACTACAGGTTTCATCTTAGGTTCTGCAGTGCTTACATCGGGGGAAGTTATAAAGTATGTGCCAAAGAAAAAAAACATTTAGTTAGCTTTCTAAATGTCTCGTATTGTGGCAAAAGTCACCTCATATCCTAAAAAGTACTTTGATATAACATCATTTCTGTACATTTAATTAAGTTTATTTTCAACACGTAAATAATTTTAGTTTGGTGTGTCTGAAAAGTGTTATTCCACGGAATATGGATTTTTAAATTTAAAAAAAAAAAAAATTAGCTATTTTGTAAAAAATAAGTACAGACATGCCTAGAAATACAAAACAGTGTAAAAGTAGTTAAGAGTGAAACAAGAATAGGTATAAGTTGTAAACCCAGAGCACAAGTTAAGGACTCTGTTTTTCCTCCTGTGGAATAATGGTCTGTTTTCCCCCTATACATCACTTTTCCAAGAATCTTTTGCAAATGACTCTGATAGTATATTTGTCGCAAATTGGGTCCTTTAAAAAAAATAGATAAATGCTTTTGATGTATCCCTAACTATTTATTTTATATACAGATTAAGTATATTATTAATAAGTGATGATGTGTAACCTGGAAAGAAGGTAATGCATAGTTGACATTAATTTTCATTAATGTTATTTTTTGTCCCTTTTTCAGAGAGATTCTTCAGATACTACTGGTTTTCATCTTGTCAGGTTCTGCAGTGCTTTCATCGGGGGAAGTTTTAAAGTATGTGCCAAAGAAAAAAACATTTAGTTAGCTTTCTAAATGTCTCGTATTGTGGCAAAAGTCACCTCATATCCTAAAAAGTACTTTGATGTAACATCATTTCTGTACATTTAATTACATTTATTTTTAACACGTAAACATTTTTATTTTACTCATATTTTATCATTTTTCTCATTTTATTTGAAAAAATTCACTGTAATTTTGTGATTTTTAAATACACATTTATAAAATGCAAAACACCTTAAAAAAAAAACTCAATGAAAACTTGACCAACATAACTGTGTGTGTAATGTAAATGTAAACATTTGTACATACAAGATTGCAACTTTCTTAATTTTTGTCTTCATGCTTGTAATGGCATATGTTCCCAGAGATCCACCTTCCTGCCTTCCAGCTGCAATCTTGATTAAACACATTGGTCTTTGATTACCAAGTGCTCCTTCAGATTCTTATGGTGCTTTCACACTAGCATTTTAGGTCCGCACCTGAGTTGTTTGACATCTCAATACGATACGTTTGGCTAGTGTTAACGGATAGATGCGAGTTAAGCAGGTTGCACACCAGAAGCGCCGCGCGGCGACACGGCACGTACATGACAGTTTAAAGTATCACACACAAGACGCGCACATTCGAATGATATTTAACATGGAACTAATTAGATGGCGCTCTGTGGCGCGGCTGAAAAATGAACTGCGTTCTGAGCTGTTGCCGGGTGCCGCCAACAGCCGCCGATTTGCGGCGCCAGTGTGTATCCTGATAGAAACCTATGTTTAGAATTCTAAAATGCGTGGCGCTGCGCGGCGCGCCGCCGAGCGGCGCTTCTGGTGTGCGACCTGCTTTACACTCTGTACGTTCAAAACCAAAAGAGTCAGTAAAAGCAGAACGACCGCCATGTGGTACATCTTTCCACAGCTTTGCTGTGTGTCCGTCACCTAGCAACAGCCGTACACAAAACAACAGCCCGATGATGCAAGCAAACTGTGGTTCAGAAGGAAAAAAAGGCAGTGTGATTACAAACAAGCCTAGAAGATGGCAAGGGGGAACAATTAAACTTAAGGTCCAGGCGATTGAACCAAGTGTGAAAGCACCCTTAGTTAATTTAGTTGAGTTTGATCAGCATTAAAGCTGAACTCGGTATTAAAAACAAGAGCTTTTCATTTTGGCATTTATTTATATATATATATATATATATATATATATATATATATATATATATATATATATATATATATATATATATATATATATATATATATACACACACACACATGTGTGTATTTGTTTTAGAGTTGTGTTTTTTTGTTTTGTTTTTCCAGCATGCCACGAAAAGGGAAGAGATCTCAGGCTCAGAAATTGCGCTGGAAAAAGATAGACCTTCAAGATGTAAATACCAGCCTTTCCTGCATTAAAGAGGTAATAATGAAATATGTCTGTAATTTTTAGAAGATTTGTGCATGAGTTAAAGCAGCCATTTACAAATTTAATGAATTTTTTTATTACACAGTGAATTATTTTCCCGTCACAAAGCCTTAATGGGATAGTTTACCCAAAAATGAAAATTCTGCTATTTACTCTTGACATGCATTCAAAGCATTCTGTTGAGCACCGTATTGACCTTATTCTCCGCCGACGAGTGGGCGCTGCCATTTGAATCTTTTTGGCTTGAGACTTCCGGTCTAATTCACTTTCATTCATTTTTAGACATTAAAAGCTGCTCATTACGCTGCTTGATGTTGCAATTTGATATTTTCTTGTTATATTATTCTACTTGGTCTGTATAGTCATGCAAACATTTGTTTGTAGAGCAAGTAGTTTGACCGTTTGCTGCCGTTTATTATTCCTAGTCATTTCTCCCATAGGCGACTGAATCGGAAGTTCTAAGACAATCGCGAAAACAGGCGCACTTCCGCATTTTAGAATAAGGTCAATAAGATATTTTAAAGAATTTTGGAAACCTCTAACCATTGTCTTCCATGGTTACAAGTTTACAACCTTATTATTATTATTATTATTATTATGTTTAAGAAAAATAAATTGTGTATTATTGAACTTAAAGGCTTTTGTTTGGAAGTGATTGCAGAATTGTTACATTTGGGCGAGAATTCCATTAAATTTCTCTTAATTACAATAATTCGTAACACTTTATAATAAGTACAAACTATGAACCATTTATTAACAGGGTTTCCGTGGGGTCTTAAAGTCTAAAATTTAAAAATCTAAATTTAAGGCCTTAAAAACTTTTAAAGTCACTGTTCTAGATCTTACATATTTTGCACGGGTCTTATTTTTCCGATGTCAACACTACATCTAATGCTTATTTTTTTAGATGTTTTTGTGGTGTTGTACTTTACTTCACTAGTCCAATTCTTATTTGCGTTATTATAACTACAAATGAGACCAGCATCCACTAGCTTAATTGCATGTGGTGAATGTTACGTTATCGCTGTGTTTGCGAAGGTTTGCTTTGGGTGCACACATCTTGATTTCGGCTGGCGGAGCTCACAAAATGTTTTGAGACTCGAGTGAACAGTTTGTGCAGCACCGCGTTTGATTTCAGTTGAATATGAAACACTTTGAAGAGATTTGTTGCCCCTTGTAGAATCTGTTACGGTGTGTGTTGTGGTAATTGTCTGAAAAAAAAAAAACAATATTGTTTTGGAATGTTAGGGTAATACTTTATCAAATAAGTCTCATGCAAATAATCACACTGTATGTATAATGACAATACACATAAATGTACAGCATGTATGTCTGTGTATACACGCATACATATACATTTATGCATACATGTACGCATGTGTGTGTTTATATAGCCCTGTTTAAACCTGGTTTCACCTCCCAATGCACAATAATAGGTTGTTATTTTATTTAATTGTTATTGTTGTCTTTTTCTGGCCACTTTATGTAAGTGGACAACTAAATAGAAAAACACATTTTGTATTCTTCTTTTGGAAAAAAAAGATTAAGTTTTGATAAGCTTTGGTTTCAAAAACGATAATGCCACTTGTATAAAAACAATTTTGTGTAACAATCTAATAAAGTACATGTTTTTTGCAGGTTGAACAAACGAGTACCAGTGCTGCTGTAGGCCAGTCTCCTGTTAGACAATATGAGGAAAGTGGGGGTAATGAACCCAAAGTTGTGTCAGTCCGGGCGTCTCATTCTCAGGCTGATGTTCGATATGATGAATTCTCAAGGAATCACCAGTGTACCTGTGTGTCACTGACATTCTTGGCCAGTCACAGTGCAGGGCATCAGTTTAAGATGTCGGATCTTGACAGAGT